AAAATACCAGAAGGCAATAAAATTTCATGGGACTAGAGAACATCGATTTTATTCGAAAAGCCCACTTTTAGGTGATTTTGTCGTCTTCTCAGTATTTCGCATTTTCCCCCTGAAAATTCGCTTCAATAAAAAAAATAAGATGAGATTCGTGATCTCCGTGCTCTGAGGAATCAGAATATGTATAATTTATTTAAAAATAAAGATGTCATTCATTTTTGCATTGCGTGCAACTTACTTAGATCATACCAAAATTACTGGCATTTCCAGATAAAACGCCGTTATTTATTTCAAGGCATTTGATGGAAATTTCCAGGATTTAGCGACGTGAACCAACCAGAAAACGACGTGAACCAACACCAAAAGATAGTTCATTTAAAGAAATAATTATGTATGGTGATTTATCAACAGCACCACTTGATCAACTATCAGCAATGGTCGATGAAGTAAATAAAACATACATATATTTTATTTTACTTTTGATGTTCTTATAATTTTAAATTTTTTCTATATTTCAGTTGTTAATTCCATTATTACAAAATCCAATAAATAATGAAGCATGGCCAAAAGTATTATCACAAGATATTATGAGACATGCATTAGGAATTTATCTTCTACTAATTTTATTTATAGTTTTTTTTCTTCTTCTGCTACATTTATGTATTTTTAAGTAAAACATTGCTACCTGTTCCAATGGGTGCTGATAAAGTAACAGAAGAGAGTCTTGGAAATGGTCATTCTGTCGATACAACATTATTACATGCTATTGAATCTGTTGTTATTGAATGGTCACATCAAATACAAAATGTTCCGAAAAAAGATTCATCACAAGCACTTTTAGAAGATCAAAATCCATTACCAAAAAATGAAACTGATTTTTGGAAAGCAAAATATGTTAATCTATTGAATATACATGAACAGGTGGATAGTTATTGTTGTTTTTTTATTAATTTTATATCTCTTATATTTTAGACTATTGATTTAATTTGATTTTAGTTAAGTGAGCCACGTGTTAAAAAAATGGCAGAATTATTGAAAAAAACAAATAGTAGTTATTATCCAGCGTCTGATTCTCTCTTACAAGATGTCAGCGATGCATTAGAAGAAGCAAAAGAAATTGGTTTATATTTAAACCGGTATCACAACATTTTGATTCAATTGAAACAACGGATTTTAGTGAAACACAACCATTGTATGGCTCACTATTTCATACATTATGTTTAATGTGGACAAACTGTAAATCTTATCGAAGACCAGCTCGAATTATTATTCTACTACAAGAAATAAATAATTTAATTATGAAACAAGTATGTTTAGAATGAACATTTTATTGTATAAATTAGCATTAACCTATTATTATTATGATTATTCATTTAGGCTTCTGAATTTATGGAACCTATAGATTTGTTTAAAGGTGAACCGGATGAAGTATCAAACTTACTTAATAATGAATTTTATACAACAATGTCTCTAAAATCAGTTCTGGAAAAAAAGCCGTACACCTTCTCAATTGTCCTAACAGATATTTAAATAATAGTGGATCATAATTTAAATACACATGTATACGATTGTTTAAAAACAGAAAAACGCAATTCTATAAAAGTTAGAGTGTTATTATATTTTTTATATGAAATCCCGTATACGTGGACACTTTTAATCTATATTATACCATCGAATATTTACAGAAATGAGTTTAAATATACATCCCTTATTGGGCGTCGATTGTGCCGTTTTAGATAAAATAATTAATTCGCCAAAAGATATTTCAAATTGCTAAAACAATATGTATACATATTCATACTATTCTGAGTTCAAAAGGGTGAGAGCAATTTGCTCAGGTCTGCGATGATCGATATGCATTTATATGCATATATTAGCATGAGGAGCAGACATATTAGATGAACTGTTAGTTTATTATACAATTGTATCTGATGAGTATTCAGGACGCTCAGTTCCTATAGAAACTTACGAACATCACATATCTAGAGCCTATCGATTTGACAGCTGATCGAACTGGCTATAGTCAGTCTTGAATACTCTGGAGAGGATCAGTGGATGGAAATACCCGTCCATTTGAGCGTTGGTGCCTGCTGGTGTAGGATTATTGGATGCACACCCTACTGTAGTGATCCTTACTATGTGCATAGTCGTGGAGACCGTCTTCCTCTAACCCTAAATTTTTAAATTTCCTTAAAATGGTTTAGAATCGGTCTTAGATAAGAGGAAGAAGCAAGAATACCCCGCCTTTCGGCTACCTTGCGGTATAGGGTGCTGCCCGGAGGCAGTTTCGCAGATAAGAGGCAGATATCCTCTACCGAAAAATAATAAAATGCTCAACTTTAGTCGCTTCTAATCCAACTTTATCAAAAGACATACTTATAGTTATCGTCTTCTTATCGTAAGAAGCGACTAAAATCAAAGAAGAATATTATAACGACAGAAGACAAGCGATCTCAGATTTGGAAAAAATTCAAAAAGAACATGAACCATTGAATAAACTTTATGCCGATTCGGTAGCAAAGTCGAATAATATTAAAAAACAAATTGAAAGTTTAGAAAAACTAAAGCAATTGAAATTAGAAGATCAACAAAAAAAATTGATCATCAAATATGATCGTGGACCTTTACTCTACGGTCCACCAGGGACTGGCAAAGAAAACTTTGATTTGATGAATAAAGAAATCTGAAGTTTTTCCATTTCTTAGGTAAATCTGAATTACCCAAACGAGTCGCAGTTTATGCAGGTATAACTATGATAACTCAACCATTAACCGCAGGTGAACTCAATCGACCATATGTGGGTGAAACAGAAAGACTTCTTGTTGATATCATGTCTCGTGTAAAAGATATTCCGTATTTAATTTGTGCAATGACAATCGATGAGATCGATGGTCTTGTTCCTAAACGTGATAATAATGCTCAGCAAGGAAAAATTGATGGTATTAGTGTCTTATTATCTCATATTGAAGGTGTCAAAGATATTCCAAACTTAATTGTTTTCGGTGCAACCAATCGTCGAAATATGATGGATGAAGCATTTCTACGACGAATGCAAGCGAAAGTATTTGTTGGTCGACCATCACCAGCTATACGAAATAATATGTTTGTAACACCATTAGTCTGTAAAGATTCATGTGTATTTACATCGAAACGTCTTGATGCTTTAGTCAAAATTACGACGAATTTTAGTGGTGCAGCAGTCAGTGCATTGAACTAGCTGATAGTGTTGTTCGAGAATTTAATGTTTGGTTTGGTATAAGTACATTACCTGAAATATGTCGTTTAAATCCAAGTATTCTTAATTCTACTTCACATGAAGAGAATTATTCATTAGATTTTGATAATCTAAAACCAACTGGACGAATATTAATTGATTATAGTGAGAAAAAATGTTTGATTGAAATGCAAAATGAACCAACATTAGAAAAAGATTTAGAGAAAAATGAAACATCTCTTTCATTTTTATTAGCACGATTTATTTATGGTTGTTCAACAAGAAATATTGATAGAATTCAAACAATTGATTTAAATTTTCTAATTAAACAAAATGCATTTGATGAAAATCAAATCTTTGAATTATTAACAACAACATTTCTTGAATGTAATGAATATAATCGATCCATGTTAATCTTATATTGATTCATTGATTCATTAATTATGTTAAATAAATCCGATGCTGAAATGTCAAAATCGAAATCAATTTCAAATATTCGTGTTTATCAATTCCTTCGAGAAAAATGTAAAACATCAATTGTAGAATAAACCGAACCCAATGAAAAAGTAAAATACTCTCTCCTCATGAAATGAATAACGACATACATTCGTTTATTTAGGGTGAGGTCACTAAAATTGAAAAATGGATTGTAATGCTTGTCAAAGATCCTTGGTTAAAACATACTTTAATCGAAGATATTGCCTTTCAAAAATCATCAGCACAATTAAGTCAAGAAAAACAAGAAGAAGATAAACGTCTCGATGAAGAAACATCAAGAAAATGTCCGAAATGTTTACGAAGCTACACTCCGAAAGAAACACGTGATGGAAGTTGTCATTATCATCCTGAATTTGTTGTTGATATTAATCGACCTGATGAACATCTCACGAGTGAACAAGCACAATCAATTCTTCAATGTGCAATGTTGAACAAATTACCCGAGGAAAGAATGCCGAAATTATTCTGGGCATGTTGTCTGCACAAGTATGGCGAATCTTATCAATCATGTGAAACAGGCATATGTGGTTTACCCAAAGAATTAGAAGAAAAAGTGAATATGAATGATGAAAAATATATCAATCAAGTACAAGAACATTTCAAAGCAAATGCATCTGCGAAGAAAAATTTAAGAGACTTTTTAAATAGATATAACCCGTCGGCAACGAATAGAAATACTTGATCTCCAGTATCGTTTAAAAGAACGCCTTTATTGGTTTTCCAGGCAGCCAACATCCGCGAAAAACCATTTTTGTGGCAAAAAGCGATACTGATTCTGCCAGTAGACGCTTCAGGGTATCTTTCCATATGCGTATCTCAAAAGTGATTTTTTGATCGAAAATCACCATTTCTGAGGGGGGGGGTGGCCCTTAAACCCAGGGTATTTATAATGAATAATCGACGAATGCTCATTAGGTAGCATCAAATCAGAGCTCAAAGTTTTTCTTCTTCATTTTCAGATACTATGACCTTTATCCGCATACATGCCAGATGATGCTGATTATTGATCTCAATTGCAGACCAAAACTTTTCTAATCTGGGAAAAAAGATTTCCCAGATTAGAATAAAATTAAAAGATTTCAAAAAGCAGGGAGGAGATCCCTTTCTCTACTACTACAGAGCTCAAAGTTTTTCTTCTTCATTTTCAGATACTATGACCTTTATCCGCATACATGCCAGATGATGCTGATTATTGATCTCAATTGCAGACCAAAACTTTTCTAATCTGGGAAAAAAGATTTCCCAGATTAGAATAAAATTAAAAGATTTCAAAAAGCAGGGAGGAGATCCCTTTCTCTACTACTAGACAGGACGATGATCTTTTCTTTTTTCGATGATAACAGTACGTATTTCAACCTTTTATGGCCTTTTTCAAATTCTAAAAGAAAAAAAATCAAGTAAAACAGTCTCTAAAAAACCCTGCTGTTTCTTTAGAAAAGAGGAGAACGAGCAGATTTTTTTCAGTTCACTTATTCCTTTCCTTACGACAGCAAGTTTTTCTAAGGCTCTTTTACCAACAGTGTTACACTGTTGGTAAAAGAGTCCTAGAAATAGAGTCCGTCTATTCCTCTTTAGTAAATATATCGAACACGTCCATGTTCATTCAATTTAACTTTTAATTTATTCATCATGAATTCAATGTTAAGGGTACCGCTTCCCTCCTCTTTTTTCACCTTGTTGCCAAATGCGGAGCACAGTCCGATAGAGTTCAAATTTATACCAGAGATATAAGAGCGAAAAAGAAAATCGACGTATTTTTGCTCAGAATTTTGTGACATGACCTTCTATGGGTTTTCTGGAAAACTCCAGTTTTCATCCAGTCACATTATGACCCCTCGAAAAAATAGTCCGATCGAGTCGAAATTTTTACCACAGACACTCCAGATCCTATCTCAGAATGAAAATATTTTTAAAAATTGAAAAAACTGGCTTTTTTTTGTGTGATTTTCAGCATTTTTCGTATATCTCGAGAAAGAAAGCATATTTTTTGAAAAAGACCACAGCTAAAAGGCAAGCTTTTTTATTTCTTTTCATTCTCGATAAGCCACATGGACTGCGTATAAGCTATAACATAGACAGACATTTCTGGAGTTAAAAACAGCCCGACTTACTGTCAAGAAAATCTTTTACATCTATTCTGAGTGTTCATATGTATTTTTCAGCAGGCATAGTTTCGAGAGTTTGTTTGGCTTTTTGACAGAAAAGGTTTCTTTGATGATCTGAGAACTTGCAAATTGGTTTCAATGATCAAAAAGTGTTCATAAAATTGTTTTTAAAATTAAAATATAATTAAATTTGCAAAATATTTACTTTGTTTCAAGCAGTAGTTAAGCCAACGTTTTTTATTATTTTGCGCACCACATTTTTCGGCGTGTAGCGGACACATCTTTAATATTCAACAAAACAAAAGATTATTTTTAAACGAAAATTTAGAAAATAAGGTTTAATGTTTGCTTCCCAATGACTACTGCCACTGCAGTAAACTAGGTAAAATAATTCTTTAACAACTTGGAATATAAAATCTTTGAACTCGGTTATTGCCCGAATCGACTACGTATAAATATTGCTCAGTTGAATCCAAAGCTAAACCTATTGGACCATTTAACTGGTAAGGGCCAGAACCTGCTGTTCCATTTCCAGCGAATATCGTAGCAGTGTCAACACCAACGGTAAACTTTTTAACATAGTTATCTATAAAAACAACAAAAAGTTGAAGTATGATTAGATTAACAGTTCAGTACTTTATTTATTTTATATTTAGCTTACTGTCATCAGTTACAAACAGTGTTTGTTCGTTTGCAGTAACTATAACACCAAGTACAGAACTCAGAGTATTAGAAGCCATAACTACACCACCGGTACTGGGATCTGCACCCGGTGACCATCGTACCACACGTTGATTACTATTATCAGCTACATAGAGATTTCCTGAACTACTAACAACATAGATACCAGCTGGTACACTAAGTAAACCTGGGCCTAAACAGTGTGAAACAGAGTTAGTTGATACGGGGGAAAAGTTTGTACTTTTACATGACATTCTTTCAAGAGACATTTCTAGAGAAGATCAAGAAAGATTTTAGAATGTTCTAGACTGTATGGCAATATATTTTATTTTCTTCAAATATCCAACCAACTTCGTATACTGCCGGTACACATACTCGAAAGCAGCGTATTTCTCAGTTTCACGTTAAAAAGCATAATATTAGATTCAGTTTTTTGCGCTGATTGCGAATATGGCTATCTTATGCTTATATCTGCTTGTTTTGGCATAAAAAAACGCATAATAATGGTCAGTTCTCCTGCTTTTTGAGGTATTTTCTAATTTTGACCCTTTTCTTTCATTTTTAAGGTCATATTTTGGAAAGGGAGTGACTACATAGCTTTTGAGATAAAGACTTACGAGAGAACCTCCCCAGCTATCCAACTCTGATTTCAACGATCTTTTTCCTATACATACTATATAGAGTCCTAGTAAGAACTCTAAAAGTATTTGGGTTCGTACTGCTTCTTTCAAGAGTTATGAATGTTTTTATTTTATCCATACATCGCATAGCATAAATTATTAAAAATTCGATACCTCAGTCAAAACACAATGTGAAAGGGTGAACATTTTTTCTGTATTTATAATCACAGAAAATTTCAGCCTTCCCTCACAATTCGTTGCTAAGTTATAAAACATTCATAACTTGTGAAAGAAGCAATACGAACCCAAATCCTTTTAGAATTCTTACTAGCACTCTATGTAGTATCTACAGACAAAAGTTCATTGAAATCGGAGTTTAACATCTGTGGAGGTTCTCTCGTTAGTTATAATGCACAATCGTCCAATTTTTCACGTTTTCGCTCAAACAACGATAGAAAAACGTCGATTAAAATGCCACATTTTTAATGGTTCAGGTAGAGAAAATGTAAAATGTTGACTTGTATTTTTTTCGAAAAAGTTTCGCTTGTAACACTCCCTTGAAAGATTGAAAAAATGATTTTTCTCGTTTTTTCTACAACATCGTTCAATTGAGAATTTGATGCTGATAATGAGTATTATATTAGGTGTGCTTTTCTTGAACGAAGACAAACGTTTTTCTTCTCCATCGCATATCGTGCCTGTTGAGTGAATGATTAAAGTGATATATTATTTACCTGCAACAACAGTTCCATTAATTCCGCTGGTTGAATTAGAGAAAAATTTTGAAACTACATTATTTACAGCATCCCCAACATAAAATGCGCCACTATCAGCATATACACCGTAGGGATAGTTAAACTGAGATGGTGGGCCACCAGGTACATCTGATTCACCGGCAACAATTGTTCCATTTCCTGTTGCATTAATTAATTTGAATACAACAGAATTACTACTATCAGCAAAATACAACGTTCCATCACTAACAATATAAACACCTTGAGGAGAGACATAACCACCACTACCATCATAAACAACCGTTCCCGTTGTTGAACCAGATGTAAATTTCGTAATGTGACTAGCTCCTGAATCAGAAACGAAAAGATTTCCACTGCTATCTATAGTTACGAAGGCAGGTGAATTTAACCCAGTAGCAACAGTTTCGCCAAAGCAACCCGGACAACCGGTTGTTGTTGGCGTTACTTGAGCTGTTGACGTAATTGGCGCTGTGGTTGTCGTGGTTGATTCTAACACAAAAAAATACATATTTTATGTTTCACTTTTTCAGCGAGGTGCGAAATCTACCTACTACAGTTGTTATGATATTAGTCGTACAGCGCTGACACCTCTTAGTGGTGTCTATAGCATTTCGTGACACCTCTGATGGTGGTGGCAATAGCTCTTGGTAACACCTCCAATAGGTGCCAATATCCCTTCTTACCACCTTCAAGAGATGTCAATAGCCATTGCTGACACTCCTTAGTGGTGTCTATAGCATTTCATGACACCTCTGCTGGTAGTGTTAACAAAGTGATGACCGGTGAAAAATCGTACAAACTAAGTGGAGAGACCGGCTATTTTCTATCATTCAGTCATTTTATCTAACCAATATTTTAGAAAATTATAACTTAGTAAAGTAAGTAAATTATATAATTTACGCGTGTGCACAAAAACGAGAAAACTCGTTCACAACGTTCGTATGTACAAGGACGAGTTTTCTCGTCACCGGTCGTCAATGTGTTAATAACCATTGCTGACATTTCCAGTAAGTGTCAATGACCGTTCGTGACACCTCTCATGATGGCGTCAATAGACATTTCTGATCCGTCTTAGTGGTATCTATAGCATTTCGTAACACCTCTGATGGTGGTATTAATAGCTCTTGGTGACACCTCCGGTAGGCACCAATAGCCCTTCTTACCACCTCCAATGGTGTCTGTAGTCATTGCTGACGCTTCCAGTAGGTGCCAATAGCCCTTCGCGATACATGTGATAGTGTTGTCAATAGCCGTTGTTAACACCTCATGGTGGTGTCAATAGACTCAACCAAAAAACGTTCAAAAAACTGCATATATACGTTTGAAGAGGAAGTCTCGGGGAATCTAGCCCTTGCCACCTCTAGAAAACTAGTTGTTAGGTTTGCAAATCGGGTGCCGTGTTTGAGCCAGTTCTGTCAAAAATCCATTTTCGGTTCGGGAACCTTGAAAGCTGTTTTTCGATTCTGAATCAGAAAAACTTACTTTCAAGAACTAAAACCCAAACGCTTGCGTGCATCTTATTTTCCAGACTTACAAAAAGGTGTTTTCTTCTGGACTCGCTTTGTTGATGACACTTTTGTTCTTTAAGAAGTGATTCATCAGTTGATAAAATTATAAAACGTCTAAATTCTTTTCATCCAGACATAAAATTTACACATGAAAACGAAAATGAGAAATCTCTTTCGTTTCTGGGAGTAAAAATTATTCGTACTGCAACAAACTTTCAAACGACAATTTTTCGAAAGAAAAGTTATACAGACCTATTAATTAAATAGGACTCATATGTTCCATTTAGTTACAAAACGAGCTGCGTAGGTAGCATGATTAATCGTGCTATACGCATATGCTCTTCATTCAAATTACTGACGGATGAACTGAAAAAAATATTTCTAATTCTACTACTAAGCAAAATAAATCTGCTCTCTTTCGACACATTCAAGACACAAATCATACAAATAACTGGGACGGTTGTACAATTCTTTTGTATAACAACAATGTGTATCGTCTTCTGATGAAAGAATACCTCGTCATCTTGAAGCATTCACCTAAGCTTAACAACACGGTACGTTCAGTATCACTTTTCAGTTTTCTAAATGGCATTTCAAAAAATCTGGTCCCAGACCCAAGTGGTTGAATAGTATTCATATTAGAGAGAAATTATATTTTCTTCCCAGTGTTATTTTTTTCCCCTATTTTTATCCATCTTAAGTGTTGACTAGTTACATATTCGTTTGCTTCAATGTGATAATCTGTCTCGTTCACACATATCTAGACATGGTCTCTTCTTTCATTTCCTTCACTCTCTAGAATTTTATATATAAACACATGTATATATTGGTAGAATTTATATTTTTGACTCTGGCGTTACAGTATAGTCGGTTTATCTATTGTTTTCTTGAAAATGAAAATTGTACCTAGGTCAGTCCAAAAGTAGTTGCGGAGGTATGATAATCCTTCAAAGGAGGGTTCGATAGTTTCTTTTCTATACAGTCTGATAGAGAAAAGAAAGCTCTATTTTTCTATGCTATTTGATCATACTTCA